TTTTTTTTTTTTTTTTTTCAGCAAGAAAGTAATGGTACATTCATGCCGCGACAAAATATCAAAAAACGGGCGAAAAAAATCTTTCAACTGTACGCTGCCCGACACCAACCACCGGCAGCGTTATATCTTCCTTCTCCACTTCCGCATGAATTTTTCGTCTCTGCGTTAATCTACAGGGAAAGAACCCGATCCGGTTACCAACCGGGACGCTTCAATATTCGCTCACAGCCTCGCGTTGACGTTCGTTACGACAAATTTTTTAATCCCTCCTCACGGTAGATTTACTACGTGTGTATCCCGAGGTACGGTACACTCGTTATAACATTTAAGGTGAAACAAATCTGTATTCGAGTCCCATACTTTGGACATAAAACGAGAAGGTATCGTCATTTCGCTCGTACTGCCGTTTTTACCTTCCGCCTTCGGTCAGGTGCACGACACTCAGACTGCGTCGTTGATATTGAACGAGATAAAATGGGAATGAACGATATGTTGAAGGGAAAGCGAGGGTGGACCATGATTTAGTGAAAAGGTCGAATGGATAATCCTCTAATAATACGATCTGCGTTATACTCCGAAAAGACGGAACGCGACCCAGCGTGCTTTTCAATTAAGCCTCATTGAAATTTCACGTCACACACGTTACGCTGGATGCTTAAACGTTTCCAATGTGCCGCGACGAACGATTCGTTACGCAAGCACATAATTGTGCACAGCACCGAACTTGGCCCGTGTTCGATTTCTTTTCTACCCATGGTGGCTCGGCTTGTCGTCCCGATTGAATATCAAGGTCGCGTTCTTGAGCTACATCGCGAAATTTTGCACGCCTCTTGAACGATGTTTGCCCGTGGCTTCATCCACACACCAGAGAACGTGCGTACACAGTCTCGACGGGAGCAAACCCGTGGATTTGAATATTCAAGTTGTTGCAATTTGATTGACACTGCAATCGAACGATTAAATAATTCACTTGGTGAATCATTAACCTCATGCACGAAAGGCTACACGTTTTTCATGGTAAGTACAAGTTTATTCTTTAGGCAAGGAAGAAACATTTTCCGAGTTTGGTCACACCCCGATACTTCGTATATCCTCGGATCGTTCTCCTTAAGTACCTCGACTCGCGATCCTTTGACTGTTTTAAATAAAACATCGACCTCTTTGAAGCCGTTTATCGAGAGTTCGATTAACTCCCTCTGCTAGAAACCGAACACGTAGAAAATTGCCTTGACATCTGAGCCCCTGTCCCAGAAGGGGATGGCGATGAGAGACCATGCAGATTCTCAGCGAGCGAAGACGTTCAAAAGGGGCAGTTTGATCGAAAAGGGCCTTTTCATGAAAAAGAACCGAAAACGCGGCTTGGCCCCGGGTTTTCGCCGGCTTTTCTAAACTCTACGACGGAGGCGGGGAAGAATCGAGACGGGAGCCGAGAACGAGCGAGCGAAACGGAGCACGTTGAAACAGCAGAGGGACGAGCGAGACGCAAGATCAAAGCAGTTTTATAACACCGGCAGACGCTGCGATATTGCTCCGTCGTGCTT